GTAGTAGTAGTAGTAGTAGTAGTAGTAGTAGTAGTAGTAGTAGTAGTGGTAGTAGTAGTAGTAGTAGGCGTAGTAGTAGGCGTAGTAGTAGGCGTAGTAGTAGTAGTAGTCGTCGTAGTAGTAGTAGCAGCAGCAGCAGCGGCAGCAGCAGCAGGAGCAGGAGCAGGAGCAGGAGCAGGAGCAGTAGTAGTAGTAGTAGTAGGAGGAGGAGGAGGAGGAGGAGGAGGAGTAGTAGTAGTTAGTAGTAGTTAGTAGTAGTTAGTAGTAGTTAGTAGTGGTTAGTAGTAGTTAGTAGTAGTTAGTAGTAGTAGTAGTAGTAGTAGTAGTAGTAGCAGTAGCAGTAGCTGTCGCTGTCGCAGTCGCAGTCGCAGTAGCAGTAGCAGTAGTAGTAGCAGTAGTAGTGGTGGTGGTGGTAGTAGTAGTAGTAATAAAAGTGGTAGTGGTCGTAGTAGTGCTAGTAGTAGCAGTAGCAGTAGCAGTAGCAGTAGCAGTAGCAGTAGCAGCAGTAGTAGCAGTAGCAGTAGCAGTAGCCGGAACAGTAGCAGTAGCAGTAGCAGTAGTAGCAGTAGCAGTAGCAAGTAGTAGTAGTAGTAGTAGTAATAGTAGTAGTAGTAGTAGTAGTTTTTGTTGTTGTTATTGTTGTAGTGGCAGCTGTAGTTGCAATTGTAGTAGTAGTAGTAGTAGTTGTTGTTGTTGTTGTTGTTGTTGTTGTTGTTTCTGTTGTTGTTGTCGTTGTTGCAGTTGCAGTTGTAGTTGTAGTTGTAGTTTTAATTGTACTTGTAGTAGTCGTGGTGCCAGTGGTGGTCGTACGAGTGGTACCATTGCTATTGGTATTGGTGCTAGTGCTCGTGGTAGTCGCTCTAATGGTAGGTGGTGGTGCAGCACTAGTGGTAGTAGTGCTAGTGCTAGTCGTAGTAGTGCTAGCGCGAGTGGTAGTAGTAGTACTAGTGCTAATGGTAGTGAATTTTTTTCCTAGAACCACTACCACATTCCAGCAACAAAAACTGCAGCCCTGTTGTTGTTTGTTGACACCTCCCCCCAGAACAGCACCTCGAAGAAAGAAACGTACAAATCGAAACCTGAGTGACACAACTACAACAAACCCGGCTATATAGCAAGCCAACATGTATTCAAACCTGGAACCGTATCCCTAACGGTATCCCTTTGAATTCCCTGACTTGCAACACGTGACAACTATGTTGGGCGGTTCTTTGTGTTTCTACCAGCGACAACAACGGGTTCATGAGTTGTTGCTGACTAAAGCCTTGTTCAACCGTTGTTGACAAAGAATGCCTGGAGTCGGCAGCTCTGAATCCAAGACTTTGTTGTAGGGGCGATTTTTTTTTGGAATGTTTGGGACCAAGCAATTGTTTTTCTCGAACTTTATTAGAAACTCGTGTTGCAGGATGGTCTGAAAGCTGGTGTCATTACTGACGGCAAAGCCAGACGCAAAGCAGCAACCGCAGCAGAGGAAAAATTCAAAGAGCAAGTGGCAATGGAGAGAGGTTTAGTTCGAAAATTGAAGGCTCGGAGCAGAAAACCCGACAAGTTGACCATGTTTTGAACCGCAAGGCAGCCAAAGCTGAAGCTGGTTCAAAACCTGAACCAAAAAGAATTGCAAATGATGAGGTCAAGAATCAGGAATGCGAACGGGATGAGCGCAGAGATGTTTCTTGTTTTTTGAAACCCCGAAATGGCCGTGGAAGTGTTGTGTCTGAGTTGCATGGGGCCGGTGGTTGGAGAGATTCGTGGAGTTGTTTTGAGTACCCGTACCATGCTGAAGTACAGAAGGTCAAGAAGTGCATGGGTCAATGGAAAAAGCAATGGCAAAGGGAACAGGAAGTTTGGACGGAAAGAGTGGGTCGCATGATGAAGGCCAGCTGGAAAATATGAAAGGGCCATTCATGTATTTCACCAACCACATCGAAATGCTGCTAGCGCAGGAGGGCAGCTTGAAACAGATCCCAAAGAACAAAGTCGGGCCCAAAAAAATTGCAGGCTCGCTGACAACATGGTTCACAGAATCAAATTCCGTGTTTTGATTCCAGAAACGTGCTCTTCCTGTCCGAAGTTCCCGTTTTGCCTGAGGTCAAACTAGGGCATCTTCCAGCAAGGTCAGACCCCAGAGCGGCTTGGCGGGGCATGCGACAGTTTTGTCATTCATGCTGAGTTGTCGTTGCTGTGTAGCAGCGTAGCAGTCTTCGTCTTCAAAAGTGTGAGAAAAACGCCCAGGTGTCAAGGAGCCAAACATGAAACAGGAACCAAGTGGATCTTCACTTCATGCTCCCAGTGAGAACGAGACCCAACCGGCGCCGATTCCAAAACAGGCCCCACAGATGGAGGCTGGAAAGACGGAGTCATACGAAGTCCAAAGTGCTTTGATTCGATTGTTTGGAATGATGGTCAGAAACTCGCCGACTTCGTTTTTCGCTTTTCTTTCAAAACCAATGGAAAAATTCTCCGTTAGGTGGGGCAGAGCGGGCAAAGCCATCGAGCCGATGAAAATCTTGACGGCATTGTGTCTTTAGCAATGAAGGCACGGCTTCCGAAGCGTTTGGGTCATTGTTCCTATGATGCAGCGAGCCGCTTGGCCAGTCTGTGTTGGTGACTGTATGTGCTGAAATGTTTCACAGGCTTTGAAAGGGCATCGCTACTAGGAACAAAAAACTACTACAAGTGACACGATGCTAATAGGTTGAAGGCCATTACTGCTAGGAACAAGGATGCTACTTGGGTGGAGGCCCAGAGTTGGAAGTTTTAAAATCCTGTTTTAACAACTTGCCGCGTGTCAGTGAGCCGAGGCCGCGATTGGGTGCCACGTGGGCAAGCCAACCAAGTGCCGAAAGCCAGGCGGCATCTTCTACTGACAGGTTACACACATCAAGTGGAGAAGTCGAAGACGGGTGCTGCTGCTTGCAAACGGTGTGGGGAGAAGATTGCCAAGACATGCCTGCGTGTTGGTTACCCAGTGAAAGATCATCGAGGCGAGGCTTGTTTGGTGGCAGTGCTTTGAAGAAGAGAGGCATGATGATAGCTTCTTTTATTCTACTTTCTGAATTTGAAGGTGAGTATGGGGCCATAGTCAATTGGTTCCACTCAGAGTGCGCACGGCTGGATGAGATGATGGTAGCATATGCAAAAATGGGAGATGCGAAGCTCAAGAAAATGGTCCTAGGCTACGATGCCATGACCAAAGAAGAGCGGCCCAGCTGAAGGCAAACACACGCCTTTCAGATGTGAGGATGCACACTTCACTGAGAGCGGTTCTTTGCACGTCCGTTATGATGTGGTTGACAAGGGTTGAAACAGTGCAGTCTAGAAAGGATGCGGGGAAAGAGGGGTAAGGTGAGACATTGAAGTGAACAAGCGCCAATCAGGAGAGCACTTTCCAAAGCAGTGTCAAACCAATCACGAAACAGCAGCGGGTAAGACCGAAGATGATCGAACATTTGGAAATCCAAGAAACACAACGAGAATTATCAGCAGCGCGCGAAAACATCAAACCTATGTGTACAACTCAGAGTTGTTGCCAAGAAAAGGACACAATGTCAAACTATGGAGGCGGCACTTTGCCCCATGGCCTCCAACCTAAGAGCGATGGCCTCCTTTGGAGGCGGCTCAAGAGAAAGCATTGGTGGTCTGACGGGCTCTGACTGAAAGCTGAAACAATCGAGTCATCCAAGCAGAACCTGTCTTGTGACACGCGCAACCACGCGATAAGGGGATTTGGTAAAGGGAAGGCTGCTCAAACCTGGGTGTGCCCGTCGCCTTCATAATCCATGCAGGGTGTCTGAGTCTAAACAAGACGGCTCAGTCCAAGCAGGTTCCCAGCATCAGAGCCAATATCGTAGTGGCAGCACGGCTCAATACGCGTCAACTTTAACAGCTAATCCTAAGCCCCTAAGCCCTTCCTCGGCCAAATGTTCCACTTGCTGCTTGCGTTCTTACCTCGAAACATGGCTGAACTGTCCGCAACTGGGTTGCCGTACTGCATGAGCGGCCTGAAGTCAGAACAACGTCTCCCGGCCAGGGCCCATTCGCGTGATGAGGGTTGCACCAACCTCCCACACTCATAAGCAAGGTGGTGTTTGGAACATTCTTTAACCTCTAAGGATAGCCTGCTCCTAGTAGTGAGGCCAGGAGCCCCTAGTAGCTTCTTGTTCCTAGTAGCGATGCCAGGAGCCCCTAGTAGCGTCCTTGCTCCTAGTAGCTAAGGATAGGGGTTTAAAAAGGCCACTGAGGTTGGTTAAGAAGCGTGACGCCGGCAACGACACCCCGCATCTAAGGCGCCTGCAGCTCCGAGAGGACTTGCTCAGTCCAGCGCAGATGGCACCGCCCGACCTGCCAGCCACACAAAGCGTACGTTTCACAATTGCACTTATCCGCAACGTCTCGGTATTTTTTTCAGACATGCGTTTCATTTGTGTTGCCACTCCATCATTTCTGTTTCATCCCAGGTCAGTTGCCTCAACATCCAGCGCCAAAAGCGTTGAAACTTCCCCTTTTAGCCTTCCAGGCAGAAGGCTTGGATATGGAGTTTGACGAAACTCATTGTGCAATCTTGCTGGAACATTTCCCTTTTTTCTTTGTTTTTGCATTGGTGGCCAATGGACTTTCTGGGTAGACTTGTTCATTCTGCGCAAGTCGTTCTTTTGGAGAGAGGCTTGGGATGGATGCTGGAGCGCGAAGCAGACAAGTCCACGAGGGGTGGCATTCTTGCTGATGAGATGGGCATGGGCAAGACTCTTCAAACCATTTCCCTTCTTTTGGCAGGCCTGGATTTGCAAGAAGTGCCCAACCCAACACGAAATGATGCATCACATGTATTTCCAGCTTGCATCTCATAGGGGCCTAGACAGTCAGCCAATTGGCAAAATGTGAGCAGGAGAGGTCAAGGGCCCTACGTTGGTGGTGTGCCCTGCTGCCGCAATGCTTCAATGGCGCAACGAGATCCTTCGCTTCACCGAGCCAGGCGAGCATGAATTGAAGGCATGAGGGTTTGCAGGCCTCCAACCTAATAGCGATGGCAATGGCCTCCAACTTTAATGCGGAAAAGATGATGGACTTTCTTTTTTTGAAGCATATTTCACCCAAAGGAGATCCCCTCAGACCGCTCAGCATGATATAGAAATCCTGTACAAAATGAGACGGATTTTGAGTCTGCGAGGAAACCTGGAAGTGCGCCTGTTCTATGGCACAGAGAAGAAAGACGCGCTGAGCGATTTGATGGACGCAAAATCTATTTTCCTTCGGCGTGTGGTGGTTCTCACCACATATCAAACTCTTGAGAGCGACTACAGGCAGCAGGTCAACCTGACCAAAGTCCAATGCAAATGGTGTGGTCGCCTCTTCCAGAAAGCCAAGCTCTTTTACCATCAAAAATATTTCTGCGGACCTGATGCCCAAAGAACAGAGAAGCAAATGAAGGCGCAACGGAAAGCCGACTACAAGGACCCTTAAGAGTATGAGAGTTACGTTTGGGTGCCTTGCTTTTTCTCAGCGAGCAGCTCCTTCCATCCCCTTGTCTCAGGATGAAGCTGTGAAGATGATGAAAATCGGCGGGACTGCAACGAATATCACCTTGAATCCCTTGAATGCGATTCGAAGTGCGGCCACTTCAGCTCTGCGCTCGGGCCTCGTGCGCCTCGTGCGAATCCAGACACGCCTCGAATCCTCGAATCCGTGCTGTGCTCAGGCCGTCGAGCAAAATCGACCAACCGAGTGAGCACGCCACGAGCTCAAAAGGCTAAGCGGCTAAGCCAGACCCCGGTCTGGGTTTCAATCGAGTGAAGAAAAGAATGTTGGAGTTGTGTGAGGAGGCTGTTCTCCCCTTCAGAATGTGAATCGGTTCGTGGTTGCCTTGTCGGGGGTCACTCGTGGACAGAGGCCTTTTCCAGTGTCAGTGCTTCCAGATGAAGCACAGGAAGCCTTGCGGAAGGGCCAGGACGCTGACAGCAACATTTCAGGAGACGTCTGCTTGGAATAGCTTGCCTTTGATAGTCTTTGCTTCGAAAGGGCCTCATGTCGCCCAATCAAGAATACATCAAAGGTGTGAGACCTTTCGAGGAGATCAACACTTGTCCTCGGCAAAGGCACGCAAATGACCCGCACAAGGCATATACGGCTTTTTTCATTTCACATGTTGTGCTTCTAGGAAGTTGCCACACCGTTGAAGCGACGCTCAATGGGCCAAGGCGTGCCAGGAATTGAGAATTTATTGTGTAGACGTCATATTGTCCCAGATAGCTGGAAGCTACAAAGGTTTGTACCTCTGTTGGAGCCAGGCATCATAGCAGCTTTTCGCCTTAAACTCTTGGTAGCTGACTGCAGCATTCTCACCAAAATCCGCTTGGGAATGGGCTGGGAGTGGTATTTTGTGTAGTATGTAATTGCTAACAATGGGACGAGTAATATCTGGAAAAGGGCAAAGATGAAAGCCATCCATAACAAGGGTAGGTTAGGTGGCGTAGTTCCCGCAACAAAAATGGAGATGGTAAAAGTGTTCTATCAGCAGCGAGGGAAAGTTTCAAGAAGGGAGAGGTTGTCCACATTGTAGCGATGATGACGAAGCGTTCCAGACCGCAGTCTCAAAGTTTGATAAGGACAAAGGCATCAATCACATCATCACTTTGTGTGACACTTCGCTGAAGGTAGGCGTTTGTGCACCTAAACTTTCATCAGTTCACCGTCCTCACCAAACCTTGGACACGAAAGCTTTGGACATGGCACAGAGAACCGCGACAGATGACAGCCACGGCTTCTTAATGCACATTGGATGCCATCCACAAACGCACACATGATTTCCAAGTATAAACCCCTAAACACGCAATAGTAGACCATAAAGTTGAACTTATCATCCCACCCAAGGTCTTCAACCGAAAATATATTGGACAAATTGTCAGCGTCAAAAACTATAGTAGCAAACAAACTCTTGTCTACCTTGTGCATTATTTGCATTTAAGATTAGATTAGCGGTTGCATACTGTCGCCTTTTTGAAGCCCAAAATGCTATCTGGGGTCTTTGCTAGTGCAGCTTTTGTTTCAATTTGTTTCGTTCTTTTCCTTTCCGATTGTATTGATTTGATCAGGCAAGCCATCCAGCAAATGTAGCCCAAGCCCAGTTCGGCAGCAAGAGTGGAACGCATTCTTGTACCAACAATCTGGTTTGTATGACCTCAGGCCGTTTAGTAGCTTTCCTGCCGAACACTTCAGGTGACTGCACCCAAGCGGATGAAGACAACCAGTACATCAGCTGAACCCCTAGTCAGCGACTTAGGTCCGGCTTGGACGATTCCCAATTATCAAAGGCCGGACAAAAGAAACAAAAAGACACCCTTTCTGGTGCATATTACTGCATATATTGTTTTTCTACTCCCTCGCTCTTCCCTCCCTTCCTTTTCGTCTCCGCCTCAGACAAATCACAGCTACACGGGTGTTGTATGTGTATCATTGTGTTTTCTACTTACTTCAAAATTCGGTCCACTTGGTCCAGAGTTGCTTCCAGTCATATTCAGCCATTCAGAGTTGTTCAGGAGAAGCCGAGTTCTGGCTGGGGCAGAGCCCTAAAAGCTTCGTCTCCTTCAGGAGTCATTGAGTTGGCTCCAAGCACCCGCCTTATTGAGCCTGATATGAACGGCCTCGGAACCTGAGCAAAATGGATGGCCTCCAACCTAAGAGCTCAGTGTGCTAGGTGAGGATGGAAGTGATTTGGAGCTCTTGCAAGAGGAGCCTTGCCAAAACCCCTTGCATGAATCCTTCAAGACGAAGTCTCAGAGTGTAATTGGTGAAGTGTGATCAGGTCAGAGTTGAGTGGACCTTCGTTTGAGGTCAGAACATCCAGGGGCTTCGTCAAAGAGAGCTAAGACAACCAAGATGGAAAAGATGCAGGAGAGTGGCCAGTCCAGCGAAAAGAAGGCGAGCAGCACGATTGTTGAAAAGATCGAAGCAGTAGCGCTCAAGAAGGGCAGCATCACGGACGTTTTCTACAATCCTTGCCAATGTGTTGCTCCTTGCGTTTCAAGTCCTCACGGTGGACAAAACGAGAATCGAAGATAGGCTCTTCAAAGCAGGTCAGACACCAATAACTTAGACACACTGACACCTTTTTGGCAATCATGGGAAGAGGTCTCGCCATCCACTACACGAACTTTTTGAACAGGCAGCCGAAGAAACTGCAAAAGCCAGCGACGAGGTGCTCACGTCCTGAGACTTAA